AATTTTGTTTGCTTATTTATATTATATTTTGTTCATTTAAATTTCCTTTTGTTCATTTTTCTTTTGTTTTGCTCATTTTTTTTTTCAGGGAAACAAAATGTGAATATCAATTCTGATATTCTCACATTTCTTTCTGATGTTGATAAAATAAAGGACTTGAATTGGTGCAAGTATATCCTTGATTAACTTGTGAAGGCCAAGCTTTTCTGGGAAGAACGTCAAACTCGTTCTTTTCCTGGATCTTTACTGTTTATTATGGTATTACTTTAATTTTTGTTGTTTTATTAATGTAGTATTTTTTACTTATTTGTTGATTTTTAATTTACTAATTATTTTTTCTTACTTGTTTGTAGCTATTGTATGTATTAATTTTTATTTGTTTAATTTTAATGTACTAATTTTTTCTATCTTACTTGTTTGTAGCTTTTATACGTTGATTAGTTTGTCATTGAGGAAGTTAGAGCCAAACGAGAAACTCCAGTTCTCAAAGGTTGGACAACCAATATGTTGTCAAGTCGTGAGAAATTGGAAATTTTTAAGGGGAGGCTTGGAGTTTTTTTATAAAAACCAGAAGCTTGTTGGTCCTTCTGGCAGCAAACAACCAAAACTGGTATTTCACTTGTAACCAATACTTAGTTTTTCTATGTCTTTGGCATTGCTTGAAGAATTGAATTGGAACAAATCTTGCTTTAAGGAAAATGATGCAATGTGGTGCTTTTATAGCACATTAATGGACCTCCTAAATCAGCAAAAAAATATTTGCTCATTTGTCAAATGAGCAATTATTTTTTGCTCATTTGATACTGTGTGATTTGGATGAAAATTACACAATTATGTAATATTTTTTTTTTTGTTTTTTTTGTTTTTGCTTGATTTTAGGAACAATCTGATCCAATTCATACAAAAAATGAAGAAATTGAACAAGATCCGAAGAAGGTATTTATATGACTTTTCTGGAAACTTATATTAATTTGCTCATTTTTATATGACTTTGCTCATTTTTTGTTTTTGTTTTTTTTTCCTAATTTTTGTTATTTTTTACTTAATTGTGAATTTGTATTGTTGTTTTGTGAATTTGGGGATTGCCATGCGATGAAAGAGTAGGGGGTTAAAAGGTTGGGGGTGTGCGAGTTGTTATTAGCCCAATCCCTATCCTCCCTAAGATACATCTTCTGGTTAGCTTTAAACATAAATCTGATTAGCTTTAAACACCTCAGATGGTAAAACCTCCTCATTAACATGTGTAGGTGTTTGCTCATTTGATAAATGAGTAATCAACTATTTGCTCATTTGGTAAATGAGCAAAAAATTGATTGCTCATTTGACAAATGAGCATCTATGTTTTAATTTACTGCATTAAAGGACTTTTAGCTATTGGGGAAATGGATTTAAGGATCCAGGTGTAGCGTTAAATGATCCTCTAATTGTTAGCAAAAGAAAACTCTAACAAGCTGATCATGATTTTGCTCTAAAGTTTGGTAAGCCTTTAAGTATTCAAGATGGTCTTGGCTTCTTTCCATTATTATGAATTAATTTTTTTTTTTATAGAAATGCCTTATGGAGCTTGCAACAGCATCTACAAATCTAGTCTTGGCATACATGGATTTCAGTGAAAAACATGAAACTGCTGTTAAGTATTTTCCAAACAATGAGAAGATTCAAAAGCTGAAGGAAGATGCAATGACTGTTTGTGATGAGCAGAAGATGAGCTCTAAAGCTTTGACTGAAGATATTCCTCTCTCATTTAGCCAAGATGAACAGTATTGGCAAGATCCAGCTGTAATTGAAGCTTGGGATAGGTTTTCGAAGATTTCAGGCAATGACAAGCATGCTGAATCTACAATTTATGCTAGGGTTGATCAACTGATTGAATCAGAACCAATTGATATTACTAAGATTGCTGCTGAATGTGTTGACATAGCAAGTGGTATACCTGATGTTGAAGATCCATATGTTATCATACAACCTAAGGTTGCTGAACATGTATTTAAAAAACTTGGAGAGTCAAGTACGAGATATAGTTTAAGAAGTTCAGTTGCCAAAGGATGTGGAACTCCTTCATTCAGCTTAGGAATCTCTTCTCAAGATGATTCTCATGAGAAGTCCCCCAGCATTGCACCTACTGATGAACCTGTAGTTGCTCCTGTGAGTGCACAAGTTGGTGCTTCTAAATCAGTTGATGATGCTGATGCTGTGAATGCTCAAGAAGACCCAATTGCGCTTAAGAGAAAAGGAGATGCTGAAAATGAGAGTTGTATTCCAAAGAAGCGTAAAGTGCAACCATCGTTGCAAATTAGATCTCCTTTTAAGTCTCGGATTATCAACATATATACACCATTAACAGCAGTTCAGAAAGGTGTTATGGATTCATTTTTTCATGAGAAGAAAAATCGTTTGTAAGTATTTATTCAATTTTTTCAGTTCTGGAAATTTTGGCAACTGACTTTATTTTTCTTTCTTATAACAAGTCTAGCTCTATATTCTCACTTTACATATCTACGATTGAAATTATTTTAACTTCCCTAAATCTTATATGTAGTGATGCAGGGTTTTTATGCAAGGGTGAGCCTGATAATGAAGTAATGCTATTTCAACTTGAAATGCTAAAAACTCAGAGCAAAATTCATGGCGATATCATTAATGCATGGTCTACTGTTCTGAATTTTAATGAGCAATATAAAGATGTCAATTCTTGTGGACGTTTCTTTTTTGGTCTTAATGCTGTTGTAAGTTCAACTCGTTCATTTTATTTTGTTTTATTTTGTTCATGTTCACTTTGCTCATTTCATATAATTTTTTTTATATTTGAATGTAGATGTTGTTTTGTATTTGCAAAAACTATTATTAGTTCTTTGCTCATTTGTCAAATGAGCAAACTATTCAATGCTCATTTGTCAAATGAGCAAAAATTAAATACTGAACTAATTCAAGTCTCTTATTGGATACTAAATAACATAAAATCTTTTGATAAAATATTTGAAATACAGAACTAATAATAATATAAATTCTGACTTCCTTGGTCTGAATCAATGTATAATCAGTGTTTATGAGTTGTATTATGGTCTAATTTTGGTCCTGCACAATTCAGACTCTTATTTATGACCTGTATTATGGTCTGAATCAGTGACGAGTGAGAATTCACAGACATGCTGCATCTATAATTCTATATGGTCTTAAACCAAAGGACTTAATTCTTTATGTTTATGATGCTATCTGACAACTAACATTCTGTATGTTTTGTAATTACATAAATAATTGAATGATAGCTGCAATTAATTCTTTGCTCATTTGCCAAATGAGCAGTTAATTTTTTGCTCATTTGTCAAATGAGCAAAACATTCACTTTCTCATTTGTAAAAAAAATTTCAATTTACTCATTTTATGACTTTTCTCATTTCAAATTCACTTTACTCATTTCTTATTTACTCTTTTCATTTATGTTCATCTTATTTATGTATTTTTCTTTATTTATTTTTTTAGGATTGCCTTTTTCAATACGAAAGTGATCGTGCTCAAGAAAGGAATAAAATGTTTTGTGAGGTTGTGGAGTTGGAATTCATCAAAACAATCATCCCAAAGAAAGATATTGAGCTTTTCTTTTTCCCGGTATTTGAAAAGGATCATTATTATCTGGTATGTTTTAACACCACCACAGACTGTGGTACAATTGAGGTTATTGATTACAGTGAAGGTCCTAGAGAAAATAAGAAATTGCTTAAAAATCTGGTATGTCTTCTGCCACTTCTTCTTCATCATTAATATCCTCATTGATGCCTGCCATGTTGTTACCAGATTCTTTATTCATATCTCCTCTCATTATATCACTGGTACCCTAACCCTTTCAGAGGATTCTCCTCTGAATTTCTTCTTTCTCCCATAACAAGAAAATACACACACACACACTCACGCCAGAGACACACACACACACACATACACAGGCACACACACACACACACACACACACACGCATACACACACACATACACACACGCACACATACACACACACACACACACAAGCAAAGTCTTAAATAGCTTCCTGTTAGTCTCTGTCTCTGACCTCACTTTGAATCTATTCATGGTCAGCTTGATTCTTTCGGGATATATGACATGTAAAACTTTTCTAGAGGATACTTTCAAAACTCTGTGATTTATTTTTCTACATAATGTGCATCTCTGCATTTGAACAATGTGTTTGAGAGTTTCTGATTGTATACAGGCACACACACACACATACACAGGCGCACACAAACACACACACACACAAATACACACACACGCATACACACACACATACACACACATACACACACACACACACAAGCACACATACAACCTGTACTAGAATCTAAAATCAGATTCTGAAATTAGTTTTTGGAATCAGAATTGTGTAATGTGTGGGTAGGTGGCAGTAATGGCTCAAGATTTTGTTAGATTATTTTAGAAAAATGATTTGAGTTTAGTTGTTTATCTTGATCTTGTTCTGCTTGTTCTAACTATATTTGTTCCACCTGTTTTTGTTCTTATTTTAACTTATTTGTTCATTTTCAGAAAAGTGCATTTTCATATTTCATGAATGGTGAAGGAAGTATACAAAGTGTTGTTTTGTCAAAACAAATCAAGTCTATGGAGTCTGTTGTGGTTGATTTACCTTGGAAGTCTTCAGATGATTATCATTTGCATTGCGGTGTTGTAATGATGAGGCATATGGAAACATATATGGGTTTGCAAAAGTGGAATTCAGGTTTAAAGAAAAATAATGTAAGTCTAACCAGAAAAAGTCTAATTGCAATTTTTATAATTTGATTCTTCTGGAATGAGAAATCTGCACTTTTTAGATTAAAATTTGTGAGCAGCTTGTTGATATACATTCATGAAGCCATTACTTACCCTATACTTACTCTGAATTATTGCTTCATTTTTTCTCTTTGCAGGACATAATCATTGACAAACTTCGTTTGAAGTATACCCTCTCAATTATTTCAAGTGAAGTAAATACTGTTAAACCTGTTAAACAAGTTGTCCAAAAGAAAAAAAAGGCTGAGGAAGCAAGTGATGCTGAAGAAAGCTAGGGGCAGCAATCCAAGAGCAATTAACGGAGAGAATTGAAGACTGAAGTTGATCAATTGTTCTTAGGATTTGTATAGTTTTTGTACAGAACAATAGAAGTGTTAGTTTTATGATGTTCTTAATAGGACAAATGTGATAAATGTTCTTAGTTGATCTAATGTTTTTATGATGTTGTTAGGATTTTCTAAGTATAAATTTTTCTATGTCAATGTAATGGATATGATTTTCTATCTTATTGACTAAGTTGTTTGTCATTTGTTAAATTCCTGATTAACTATTTGAGCAACTGACTATTTGCTCATTTGCTAAATGAGCAAAGAAATGTTTTCTTATTTTTTTAAATAAGTAACTAATTATTTGCTCATTTAAAAAATGAGGAAACTAATGCTTACTCATTTCACAAATGAGCAAAGAAATGGTTGTTGATTTAATGTATTATTAAAAGGAATGTTTACTCATTTGACAAATGAGTATTAACTATTTGCTCATTTGACAAATGAGTATTAACTATTTGCTCATTTGCCAAATGACCAAATTAATAATGCTAAATCTTATATTTATATAAAAATATTAAATTTTATATTTGTATAAAAGTATCATTATACAAATATCAGCAAATATCTAGTTAATTTAGCCTCTATGATTTTGAAGATTAGGGTATGTTCTCTTTATTGAACTCATTGTATAATATCTTGGATTGGACTATTTCTGTTACCAAGGACATTACAATAGCTTTGGTATAATTACATATGTGTGTATGATAGATAAACAGAGCTTGCAAAATATTTGCTCATTTCAACAAAATTTAAAACACAAAATGCTAAATCATATATTTATATAAAAATATTAACTTTTATATTTGTATAAAAGTATCATTATACTTTGTTTGGACAATTTCTAATATCATGATGACTCAATTCACCACAACCTCTACATAATCTCTTCTTTTTCTGGTTTTGTTCTATAACCTTTTCTTTTTCTCCCTTTAGCCTTTTTGCACTTCTACCTCTTGTTTCAACATTTGGCACATCAATCTCAGCCCCTTTCTCTTTTGAAGTCTCTACATTTGATACATGAATTCCAGTCCCTTTATTCTTTGAAATTTTTGGAGGTTTGACAATTATTTCAGTTGGCACACTAGCTCCAATCAATAGCTCAATGTCTTGTCCTTTGTTGTTTGCACTTCCTGTTGTTTCATTATTCCTTGCAATCCTCTTAGCCTCCAAATCCTTTCTTATTCCTTGAAGATTTATCACAAGATCTTGAATATCTTCATCATTGCCTTCTGCCAAACTTACACAAGTGTGTATCTCTGACCATAAATCATTTAACAATTTTTTCTTGTCAATTAAATTAGCACATTGCTCCAACAGGTTTCCACCCAAGTCAAAATTTGGTTTTTTCAGTGCCATAGTAGTCCATCCGTGTAGCATATACTTCTCAGGAATGGTTTCAAACCTTTTTGCTTTCCAAACCCAAATCATATGTCTACATGGAATTCCTTGTCTATAAAACAACTTGCAAGAACATGTGGTGTCAAAGTTAGTTGGATTAAACACAACATCAAATGTTCTAATCCGATTTCCTTCACTTACTTTTGCAACTTCCAATCCATTTTCTTTCAATTCATCAACACCACATGAAAAACAAGCAATTTCAACCTCATATTGAAATTCATAAAAGACAGAGTTAGTATATAAATGTGAGGCATGCTTTTCTATCCCTAGTGGTGTTTTGCACTCAGGATATTTGTGCTTTGAATCATTATAATTCTGACCTTGAGTGTGTCTCTGGGCATCAATTGCAGCTTCATATCTCAAGTAAAACTCAACAAGTGACACATGAGGATTGATAAAGGAGCAAAAAAAGTTGTTTTCGCTTTCGGATCTTGATGTTGTACGCATTATTCCTCCAAGGAACACATCTCTGAAATACGCCGGAATCCACTTGTTCCTTATCTTGTACATATAACCTAACCACTCATGTTCTTCCAAGTGGTATTCAACCATCACCTTGTTCCACCTTTCTTCAAACTCAGCAGGTTCAATTTCAAGATGCCAAACACAAGCACATAATTTTTTTAGGAAATCAGTTTCTTCTTGCATGATTGATTTCTCCACCTTATCTGGTAACTTTTTCATTATGTGCCACATACAGAAGCGATGTTCAGTTTTGTTAAACACACTTTTAACAGCAATTTTCATTGCTGAATCTTGATCTGTAATCATACAATTCGGTTCATTTCCACCCATTGCCTTGAGAAATGATCTGAACAACCACTCAAATGACACTATATCTTCCTTTGCTATGAAACCAGCAGCAAAAGTAATGCAGCTCTTATGATGGTCAACCCCTGTAAATGGAGTAAACACCATGTTGTACCTGTTTACACATACAGATTAAATTTTAAATGATCAAATAACTACACACACACATAAATACACAGACACACGTACTTAGACACAGACACACACACGCACACACACATATACACATACATACACGCACTCACAATCTGTGATAGAATCTAAATTCAGATTATGAAATCAGAATTGTCATCAGCTACTGAAATAATTCAATGCTCATTTGACAAATGGGCAAATAATTGATTGTTCATTTGTCAAATGAGCTTATAACTCAATGCTATTGTTTGCTTTTTTGTCAAATGAGCAAATAATTGAACGCACATTTCTGAAATGAGCAAATAAGTCAATGCTCATTTGTGAAATAAACAAACAGTTATACTAAGTTCATTTAAAACAAAGTTATTAATTTAAGCTATAGTTATAACATAAAAATGATTTGTGATTTTTATGAATTACCTATTGGTTTGGTATGTGGTATCAAAGGATACCATATCACCAAATAGAGCGTAAATCTTTTTACAAAGGGGATCAGCCCATAATGCTCTACAAAGGCAATAATCATCATCCATCTCAAAATCAAAGAAAAAAGCGCTCCACATTAACTTTTTGTTGGTAAAGTTATCCACGAACATTTGAGCATCACTTCCTTGAATGTATGCTTTCAAATCTCTATGAAATTTTTTGAAATCTTGCTTAGATGCACCGATGTTATCATATCCTCCAACAATTTCCTTCATCATTCGAAAAGTTGTAACAGGACCAATATTCACCTATTTAAAGAACAAAACAGTTTGTCAAATGAGCAAATAATTTAATGCTCATTTTTCAAATGAGCATACTACTTTTATTAGAACATACAGAGAATTCATGAAACATAAGAGGCTTTGAAAGTCGTACCTTAGAATTATTCACAATTATTTTTTTGTGCAATATGTTCATTTTTCTTCCTTCTTTTTGGAAGAGATTGCAACTAGGTGTATAAAGTGGATGAGTATGTCCCTCATGAAATTGTGACACTATGAATTTGTTATCATCACAATGCTTTATGATAATATGTGCCTTGCACCCAACACGAGTAACGAGTCTCTTCCTTTTGATTGAAGTTTTTTCTTCATTGCTTTCTCCTTCGTTGTTATTTAAATCTTTTTCAACAGTAGGCTTTCTTTTCTCTTTGTATCCTTCTTTATTGCATAAGATATACTGTGATTTCAATTCTTTGCTTCTTCTTTGCCTTTTAGTTGTAGATTTTCTTGTGTTGAATCCAGCAGCAAATGCATATCTTTTATAAAATTCAAGGCCCTCTTCAAGATTATTAAACTTCATCCCTATAGCTGGTTTCAACTCATTGGGGCATATTGGAAGCCATTCTTTTGTTCCTCCAGGAGTGAGCAAAGGTGCTACTTTAGGAGAAACTACTATTGTAGGAGTAGTTGCCACATTTGTGATGGTACTAGAATGACTGTCAAGTTCTTCATTGTTGCTCATCATTTCTGAAATCAGATTCAGAATTTAGAATTGCAAACAGAAAGATGAGGGGGGGGGGGGAATAGGTTTGTATAAGTAAGTGTAAGAAGGGAATGTGGTTGGTGTGCAGGAAATAGACCAAGAAGAAGGGGGGTGGGGCTTGTGTGCAGGCAAGAAAACCAAGGAACTCAATGATTTGATATCAGAAATGATGATTTGAAAAGGAGTAAAACTTGATAATGCTACCCTTCAATATGTTTTGCAAAACCTAGCATATATAGCATTCAGTATAGCATAGTATAGCATATTTGCCAGCAAAAACCATACATTCTTAGACACACACACACACTCTAACACATGCACTCTTACACTCACTTACACACACACACACACATACACACGGTAATTTCAGATTATCACAGCACACAGAAGTGCTCAATCTAAGAAGCACAACCACTTGCTCATTTGATAAATGAGCAACTAAATATTTGCTCATTAGCTACAGCTACCTCTTTCACTTTAACTGCTTCTGCAACTCATGTTAATGAGCTGAATCCCATTTCCTACCCTCTTTCTTACACTGTACAATTACCACCACCACCAAACTCTCTCTCCTTCCTCTGCCCCTGTCCCTGTACCTTACCACCACCAATATCACCACCACAACCTGTCGCACTCTCACTCCCTCGCCGCCACCCCTGTCCCCTGCACCCTACCATCACCATAATTACCAACTTATTTTGTTCATTTGCTCCTTTTTATATTTGCTCAATTTAATTATGTTTGCTCATTATATGTTTTTTATATTATTACAAATATTTAGGTTTGCTCATTTTCAATTCATTTGCTCATTTTAAATTTGATTGCAAATTTTCAATTTCTATCAAATTAATCAAACCTAAATTTTTGTTTTAATTCAAAATATTTCAAAGAAGTAAATTCAATCAAATCCATAATTGATGCAATTAAACAAGCAATTCAATGAGAACAGAACAAACCTCAAAAATCGAAAATTCTCATGCAATTAACATGCAATTCAATAACATGGTTATTGATGCAATTAAATATGCAAATTAATAAGAACAGAACAAACTAAAAAATAAAAAATTATCATCCAATTAACATGCAATTCACCTGGCGAATTTGATTTGTAGCAGCGATGGAAATGCGATTAGTAATTGATGATTTGTAGCGCAAGGCGAGCAAGGTCGGTGTGAACTTGCTTATGATTAATTTGATGAAGCAATTTGAAGCAATGAGAAACAGTGTTACTGATTAGCCGCCATTGATGAAGCTTCGTGGTGGAGAGAGAAGTTAGTTAGCTAGGTGGAGAGAGATGACAGTTAGGTGGTGTATTTACTGATTTTTCCATTACTATGCGCTTTTTCATCCGTCAGATCTATTTAGTTCAAGGGCCCAGATTTGGTCTCATATAAGAGATGGTCTCATATAGGGGGATGGTCTCACCGGATCCCGACCCTATATATATATATATATATATATATATATATATATATATATATATATATAGTACAATAATTGATATGGTTTGCTTGGAGAATAATAACACTAAAATCTATAAAGTTCTGGAATGATACAAGGGTATAATGGACTGCCGCAAATATATTTCATAACACTCCCCCTTGGATGTTCATTGTCGAAAACAGTGCCTCGTTAAAACCTTATTAGGAAAAACCCTGTGGGATAAAAACCTAATGAAGGAAAAAGAGTATAACATTTTTCGTAATACACTCGAGATGCTGCCTCATTAAAAAACTTACCAGGAAAACCCAATGTGGGACAAAATCATGGTCAAGGAAAAAAATAGTGCACCGCGTATTTTCTCCCCATGATGAATACATAACTTGAGATCTTCTAGGGACGCAAAAATGAATCCAATATGTTGTATATCTTCTCATATGTAGGAAAGTATCACTCGTTGATATGATCTTCGATCCTCCAAAACTGAAATTGCATCTTCAAGTCTTCACGCTAACATGTGAAGTGTCTTCATTTCACCATACATGTGTTTATCTCTAATATTAATATTTCAAATATCTGTTTAACAGTTGATTTAAAGGTTAAGTTTATGAAGTTATGATTTCTTCTGGAAGTCGTTAATGATGATCATTATTTGATCAAACATTCATTAATAATAATTTGATGACAAAACTTGATATATTAATGTCATTTTTAAATCTCATATGAATTATAATATAACACATTAATTATATACGCAATCATGGTTCTTCTGTACCATAAGAAAACATTATCACGCATAAGTATTCCATTGATATTTTTTAGACGTTTCATAATTAACACGATAGGTCTCTTGCAAATACAAATATTAAATCTCATTAACTCTCATATGCTCAAACTTCAGGTTGAGATGTCACTAATGTAGTTACATAGACTTTTCAAGAGTTTGATAGTAATTGCATTATTCAAGAGATAAACTTTGTAGGGCTGGATATATAAATACGTCGTATATAAGTTTTTCAGGAACTCTTCTTACATGATTCATAACGTGCAATTAAATAGGTGTCATCAATAATTTCATTACAATTATAAGCCAATTGGAATATAAATATCTATTTCTAATTTTTAATCAAAGTTGTAAATATGTCTTACTATACTTTGAATGAACATTCACATACACCATAGTCATTATAAGAAATTAGTCCATGCAATATGAGATATAGAAAACATGATAACATATTAAACAAAATATACAATGAGTGATGCATCTAACTTCCTACATATGCAATAAACCATTAACCTATGACTCACATGCACATGAACATAAGACTCAAAATGATGCAAGACACTGTACAATGTGGATTTAAAAATCCATATTTCATTGGACTTCGGGTCCATGATAAACTTATGATCATTATCATTATGTCGACATCAAAATGTACATATATTTCAAATCCCTTTCTCATTAGTCCATTTTATTCATTCATCGGTTCCATTGTGTATCGGTATCATAAAATTCTTTTAACTTATATTCTGCATGCTATTTTACTATGATATCTGAATACATTTTTCATTAGTACCATCATAACTTTTCTTACATCATACGCCATCTATTATAATAATTCAGATATCTATACCACTTTTAGGTATTTCATACACAATAATATTTATATACTATTACACTATTAGTTTCAACTGCACTATCTTGCCAAATATCATATCTATTAGACATATCTTTATTTTATTTTTTTGGAACCGATCATACAACCTACACTTCAGGTGAAGTGATTCAGGTATAATTGGCAAGATTCTATATCAATGTATACACATAATTAATATGACCAAAATGTATCTTCAACGCTATGTAACACGAGTCATAACTAAATACAAATCAA